TTGATTTAGTTCGGACAAACCAAAAACATGTTCATGGGTTCAGGAAGTTAGAAGATGCATTCAGAGTGACACGAGTTTTCCTACTAACCAAAGAAAAGTGCGTACCCAGCCTGCTGCACATCTGACTCACATCATCTACCTCCTCATCCTGGTCAGATACTTGCATGTAGCAGCCTCTTATTTTGTGTGCTGTCACCATCCTTTGCTCTCCTTGGAAGAAGCCTGGTACTCCATTTCCATTGCTGAGCTCTAGAAGGCCCTGTACATATGGAAGAGTTACCTCATGGCAGCTCTGTGTGAGGACAGGGTAATGTAGGACTTGGAGTAGGTATGGGGTGAGTTGGGGAAATCACCACAGCAGAGGCAGCACCAAGATCCTGCATGGCTGAGGTATGGCATGAGAAGCCCCTGTGAAGAAGCCCAGTTCCCATACAGGGTATGGATCTGAGGGATCAGCAACCTCAGGGGCTTCATCCAGTCATTCCTTGCATTTGCAGTGCGGCAGCTCCAGGAGCATACCAAGGTAATGCAGCTCAAGTAGGTCTCTAAGCAAAATTCAAAACCCAGCAGTTTAGAAACCATTCTCCTCAAAACCCCCTTCTGCCAAGCTCACACAGGATATTTTGTGACATAGTTAGAGCAGCTTCCCATGCAGAGAAAAGCTTTCAGAATACTGTGACATTCGGAAACTCTTCCCAGACAGGCACATCCTAAGGCATTTAAATAACCAACAGAGCTGGCTGTTTAAATGCCCTGCTCCCTAGAGGTTTTCTAATCTTATCTGGAGATCCTTCTGACAGCACTTTCTTGATGAGGGATTGCCTCCTAAGGATGGTGTAGTCCATGGGCTTCAACAGGTACACACAGTGCAGGCTTAACAAAGTTCATTTTCCACAGGAGAAGAGCAGGGGCATGCCTTTGCCTCCAGGACAAACGATGAGATGATTACAAAAATAAAAGAGAGAAAGGAAGTATGCATTTATACATTAACAGCCAACACCACCTAGGTGACAGGGAAATAAAACTGTGATAGTTTGGCAAGGCTGTGGCAGAGACGTGAACATCACTAATACAGAAAGGAACTTTAAAATATTTATAGGAGTTATCTGCAGAGTCAAACATTTATTTAACTGGTATAAAATCAAATTCTCACATGAAACATAATAAATTCTGCATGAATTGAATGAAAAGCTAACATGTTATAAACTCCCTGCGTGAACCTGAATGCTTCCTGGTTTATAAAACTGACCACACTGATATCTGATGTGAGGACAAGCACAAATTCTGACTCACCTTTTGATAATGAGCAGTGCTGTGATGCTTTAGGATGGATAAGCCAGTGGTTGATCACATCTCCTAATTCGCTTAACCCCTGTTGTAAACTTCAAAATGAGTTCAGGAAGAAGCATCAGCCATTGAGGAAGGCACCATGTGATGCTACACCTGCTGAATCAGGTATTTCATGCTGTAATAAATCCCATCTAGAGTCAGCTGTTTCTAAATTGAAAAACAAAGGAGTAAAATCAAGTGTGTACAGTCAGGTGTGTTAGGCACCACCTTATAAGTCTAGGGTGCTATTTTAAGAAAACAATAAGCTGTCAAATACTGGAATTTAAAAGATGAACACAGTCAGAGGGCCCAGGCACTAAATGAGAGAGGCTGAAAGGGATGATTAGTTGGGGGGAAGGTACCAGTCATGTCTTGAGTCAGAGCCAAACAATGGAAAATGGAAAACCAGAATTCAGACTCTCTGAATATTATAATGGAGAAATGCTTCAAAGGAAGGTTTACAGGGATGAGATCAGTAGACATTTATATTCAGTATCTAAAAGACGTTTTCAGGAGGTGGTGAAAAACAAATGCAAAATCCTTTACATAAAACATTTAACCCACTCCTCATTGGAAAACCTACATTAATACCATTCAGCCTAATTATTGTTAAATCCTAGAACTTTAATTTTGATCCTTCCTATCTAACTGATAAGTACAGCCTGCAGATTAATACCAGAGCACCATATTGGTCTGCGGGTAGCTAACACTCCATTTGTGCTTTTTTCTCTTCTTTGCAGCCCTACCTGCTTTGAACATGGTTTTTGTTATTGCTCTGTTTTGCAGCAAAGCATCAGCGTACACTTGCTCTCCAAGCACAGCATGGCCTCGCTGATTATATTAAACCCCTTACAATTTACAAAGTGTTTGGTTCATTTGGTCTATCCATTTTTGCTGCCCAACAAAAGAGCTGAAATGAATGAATCAATTTTTAAAACAAATAGGACTTGACAGCAGGGACACAGATTTGTGTGAATGGCAAAAGGTGCCTAATTAAGAGCTCTAGAGATGACAAGGCTTTCATTTCTCTAATGAAAGGAGCTTTGTGAGCTTCCAAGTGTTATCCAGATCCAGCAGAATGCATCTCTTCTCCAGGGAGAAAAAGGTAATTCTTCATGCTTCCACTTAGTTACTGTTACCTATTTTGCCTTGTGTGAAACTTGGGTCAAAGCTTTAAGGTGGCCATTGGTTTCCAAGTGGAGTAGATACCTGGAAGGGATGTTTTCAATTTCCAGGCAGCACAAAGTGACCATTTCTAAAACCGGGCTTGCTCACCATGTTCCGTAACAGCCTGCCTGAACCACCTGGCCATTTGCTCTCTAACTTAAGAGCCCAGTTCTTTCCTGTGTGTTCCAGTCATGATGGCAACACTGTGGTTGGACACAAACCTGATTAGCTAAGCACACTGGTCTCGTAATAGTTTTCCATAATAAAAATATACAGAACAGAAAAGGTTAATAAGTAGGATTGCATCAACTGTTGCACTGCTATTAGGAAACCAGCTAGGAGGTGGCTCTAACGAAGAAGCAATGAAGCTCGCTCTGAACACTGCTGCTCATTTGAAGTTCCCCAAGGGGAAAAGGCAGGGTGTTTCCACATTTGATCACTCCTTGTACAATTAATCTGGGCTTGTTTAATCCTTACCCACAGTGCACTACATGCATCTGCTTCAGAAGTTTACTTGAGTATTTTAGGGGGTACTAAAACTGAAGAAGGAGCCCTTAAAGCAGCACATCTATTTGGGTTTCTTTTGTTTCATATCGGGTTGGGGTTTTTTGTTTAAATGTAGAAACAGACCTTCGTGTAAACTGGGGAAGACTTATGGCTGGTTTGGCCTACAGTTGCAGTACTGTGCAGCAGCAATTACTGTGTTTGTGTGGGGCTTAGGGGCAGGCGCCAGGAAGAAGCCAAGCTGCTGAGTTTCCATCATCTTTGCAGGACTTATAAATGCTTTTTGGAAATTCTAATATGAGTCCATGGTTTGCAGAAAGAATTTAGGTGTACTGTTCCATGAGCAGTATAACCCTGGGGGCAATCTTATTCACAGACCCTGGATGAGGCTGGAGTGCTTCTTAGCCCAAGAGAGCACTTTGAAGTGCCTTCCTCAAGTTACTCATAGTCTTCTGACTGAGGCTGTTATTTAAGCCTTCGTCACTCCTGATGATACTCTGTCTTTTCAATTCTTCTGCTTTAAAATAATACTATTCCAAAATAGCAAGACCCCTTTCTGTCCTGTATGCTCCTTGGCATGCACCAGTGCAGTGCATCTGGCATTGTTTTATCCAGGAACAGCGATGCAGGGACCCACAGCAAAACCTTTAGAGTGGCTGCATCCACACTAAATCAGATGTGGCTGAGAAAACCAGGAAAAGAGTTAAAAATACTTTTATTCCTCAGAAGAGCCATGATTTAATGATAATTTGGGACAGGTTACAGCTATTTAGTGCCATCTGTGTGAAATAAATCCTTGTGAAAGTGCATCCCAAAGTGCATGTTTTCCACCACAGCACCGAGCAGCCAGCCAGCCTCAGGCAGAAGGTAGATGGGACAGAGCCCAATGCAGAATATTTACATGGTCTGGACATATTTCTGTGGACATATTAGTCCATGCAGGTTAGCAGCAATGGGCGTTTTGTCCATTGTAGCCAACAGGAAAGGTGGCTGACACCTCCTCCTCCATCTGTATAGGCACTAGGAAATCTGGACTGGTAGGCATAGACATCATGTTTGTCTGCCCTTATTCGTGACGTAAGAGAAGTATCTCAGTTGTGCCTAACCTTGAGAAGGAAAAAATACAAGCAAGTGGGAGAAAAAAACCACTTCCCCCATATGTGGTCAGCAGATCTGCTGAGGCTGCAAAACCCAGCACAGAGCTTAATGAGAGGGTACAAATGAAATCTCCATGAGGCTCTGCGCATAATGGTGGATGCTCTACATGTAAATAGGAGCAAAATGGCAACTTCTCAGACAAAGATGCTTTCATCTCAGAGTTCAGAACATAGAAAACAGAGCATCGCTTGGTACCCACTTATAAAATATTAGAGGTAATGAAGTTAAACAAAGCATCTTGGTTTTCCTGCCAAACCAACGGGAAAGTCATTTTAACTAAGCTGGCTTAAATGAAACATGAGGAGCTGCTGCCAGCAATCTAATTTAGGACTCTGCATTTTCTTTTAGTTCATAACCTTTCGAGTGTACCCATTCACTCAGGCTAACTTTCCGGTGAGTGGGACTGTTAATTTCACTAGCAGTCTTTAAAGCTCAGTTGGGAAAGTTTATATTTCTTCCAATTTTCACCAAGATAAAAACATCCAGATGGGTGGAAATCTTATAAGATGGAAGAGGACAGGCAGATTTGCTTTCTCAGCTATACGTATACACCCCCCACACACACACTGGTAGCAAAAAATAAAGGCAATGGGACCTGCCTATGATTCCATTCTGCATATGTAAGTTTGACCTTATAATAACAAATTAACTAGATACTCCCCGCACAATTCATAAAGATTGACATTGCTGTTTTGAGAGCTCAAGTAACAGCATCCATTTTGCTGGAGGATAAATGTAGTACAGAACTGAATTTGTAAAATATGGCCTGACAACTGATGTTCAAAACCTTCCAAAAAATAGATGGTTTTGAAGTTCTCAGTAAATATGTACACAGAAATTTATTAGGGAGAAATACACCGACCTGACTCTGCAGTCCAGGAATATGTCTCTTATAGATATTACCATCGAGTCTTGGTTCTGAAATGAAGCCTGCAAAATAAAAATTACAGCCAGATTTTCATCTCTGCATGTAAATACTCATACTTAGTGATTTGGAATTTTCTAAAAGCCTCCAAAGTTAAAAAGTTGGCAATCATTTCAAATAATACTACATGAACTCTTCATGCTGTGCTCAGAACACCAAAAACTGATTGAATTTTAAATATATCTTGAAACATTTCAAAGAAGATTGAGCGTTCAAAATGAAAACTTCAAAAAGTTTGATTATAGTGGAAAGCATTACACTTGAGAGCAAGGGAAGCAACGGTCGGTTGGGAAGGATGGAGAGCAGCCTCAACTTGCTCCTTTCAGATTCCGTTACAACTGTGAATCTCCACTGGTGCTCTCTGGGAGGCTTGATGAGACCTGCCAGGTTTTCATAGCTAACGTTGGTTGCTGTGTGGTTTCACACAGAACAGACATTTTTGCGTGCTTTGCCAAACAAGCGAGGCACATTTCCGTACTGATGACTGAACTCACGATTTCTCAGGCTGATTTAAAATGAAATCCCCAAGTTCAGTTTTGATCTTCAAAGGATTATTTTTTCAGGAGTATGTCCAAAGGTTGCAAACCAGCACCAGTTCTTAAACTATACACATCGGTCAGACCTTTTCTCCTATAATTCTTGCATATCCTACCATCACAGAGACCTCCTCTAAGGAAGTTTATGGAAAATCCCATTCTGATTTTGCTTAAGTTACAGCAGACATGAAAACAATGGCATCTAAGGGAGGAAGAAAAGTGGTCTGAATCGGAGTAGGACAGTTAATATGAAATATGAAAGTGCCATGTGGAAGCTGGCACCAAAATAGTTTGAATCCATTTGGGTATTTTAATATGTGTTTGTGTGGGCTGTTTCACGGGGGAGGAATGGTGCAAGCAGACATGGCTCAGCTGAATTATAATCCTTGGGAACAAGCAAGTACTTTGCACACAGGTTCACCAAACCAACTGACATAACTGATTAATTCCAATTTACAGGGCTAGAATGGCTCTGCACGTCCGAGTGAGGCTGGGGACCGTAAGCCAGGTCTGACCAAGAGTCCAAACCATCAGGAACTGTGGTGACAAAGAAAGGTCCAAAGCGAAGCTGAGAAGTCAAACTACAGCTTGGAGTGATTGTGAGCAGAGCTGGACACAGCCCAGGGATCCCTGGGGACCAGGCATGTCTGAGGTAGAGCTGGGTCACCAGTCAGGGTCAATCAGCAGCGATCAGTGACTGCAGAGAGCACTGCAACACACAGGCACCTTGTGAGCAAGTCTCCTCCATGGGGTAGCCTCAGAAAAAGACCATCTTGTTCCTCTTTCAAGTCAACTGCTCTTCACAGTTATTCAAAAGGCTCAGGATCTTTTAAATCTGGAAAGAAGGAGCTTTAAATAAAGGCAGAGAAATCCCCTAGCTCACAGGTCATATAGGCAGGGGCAAGTTGGCGCTCCCCAGAAAATCCAGAAGGGCCAAAAGGAAAAATAAAAATAATGAGTGTAAAAAGAAACTATCTGGCTTCTTTAAATACCACTGAATGTTCAAAAATCATGTAGATGAGGCCCTTAGTGACATGGTTTAGTGGTGGACTTGGCAGTGCTGGGCAACAGTTGGACTTGATCTTAAAGGTTTTTTCCAACCTAGTTGATTCTGTGGTTCAGGCTCAGCAGGAGTCTTGCACCAACCTTAACAGAGGAAAGGCACAGAACTTACCTTTCTGTTAAGCAGGTTGCTTTTTCCTTGCTTCTTCCCCTATACAAGCATTCAGTGATTTAAGAGCACAAAAAGCACTCAAAAGGAGGAGTTACTATTTATCCACTTCTGACTGAAATTGAAGACCACGGCCTTGTCTTCAAGGGCAGTATTTTCTTTGATTTTATATCCACACCCATTTAAACAATCAGCTTTCCAAACAATATTTCACGGAGTTACAGTCACTGAGTAATGCTGCAATAAGATGAATGATTTTTAAATGTTTGGCAGAGTTTCATTTTCTCCCTGGATTGCTTGCAGAGCAATAGCGGACGGTGCTCCCACATCCACAAGAGCCACTTCCTCAGGGGACTGCTCCAGCTCTCCAGCTCCCACAGCTGCCAGCGGCTGCTGAGCCTGCCTGTCCGTTCTTATTCCTGATGGACAGCGCTTCCTCTTTGTTTATTTTCAGAGTGAAAAAAATTGTGCAATATCCTAAGTTTGGGAATAGACGGTTTCACAAATTATTCATGAGCTATGCATTATGCATACGGTGTTGTAATAGCTTATACTATCATATTTACCTTGTACGTGCATTTAATCCATACACGGCCTTATACATGGGCCACTGAGAGCCTAGGTTCTTGTGTGAGGCTTTCTGCAGGCTGCAGCAGGGAGATGTACTGAAACACTCACAGGCTGCTGTAAGTGCAACCTCTTTTGGGTTCTTTCCTTTCCAGGGCTGAGCCAGCAAAGTTCTTGACAGCACCACCCCACCGCACCAGTTCAGGCCTTTCAGTTTGGCTCCAAGCCCCAAATGTGGCTGCATCCCTGTGTACAAACACCCTCCAAATAGCTTGCATCAATCAGAGGGAAGCAGCAGAGCTTCCTGCAGCTATTTCTGAGCAATTACTCATCTTTCCAGACCTTCCTTTAGGGTAGGTGCAGACTGTGGCAGTTGGAGCACATTACACAGCCTTGCATGCAGATGTAGCAATTAGGCATCCACAGGGCCTGAGCATCAAGAACCACCAGCCACACGGCTCAGGAGGGCAGCAACATGGAATTGTTTTCCATCTGTATGTTATGCTGAGCCTTATTTCAGCATTCAGATGGAGAAGCTTTTCTTAAAATGGACCATAAAAAGGGTTTTTCTTTTGTTGGCCCTTTCCAAGTATCCTTTACCAAGCATGGGTACACACACAGAGCATTGCAGGTCACCAAGAGCAGCAGTTGGAATTTCCCCTTGAATGCACAAAAGCAGTGATTGAGGAAGTAGCTAATCACGACAGCAAACGGAACACACTGTTAGGTGAAACAAGTCTCTAAAGCAGTATTTCATTGGGCATAGTTCCCATTTACTCCCTGCACTTCTGCCCTGCTGGGTCAGAACATAAACCTTCCTTCAGCTCTCACTAAAACATGGAAACTTTCTTAAAACCCAAACCCCCAAGTCAAAGGCCTTTTCCTTTTCCCAGGAATTGTAATTTCTTGTGAAAAGCAGAAAGCTCCCACAAAAGTCTGGATTTCCATAAGAACTCCCCTTCTCAGTGGAAAGCACAGGTTCAAGCTGAATTTAAGCCACACTTTTCCCTTGGCAGTGATCTGATATGCTATAAACCCACATTACTTGGGCTATTTTTCTGTCAACAGGAAAGATGAAAAAATGTTCTTCATGGACATAGCCATCTATTTCTGGGTAGAATTACCACTAGCACAGACCCTTTTCGAGTGCTCATCTGCTTAAAGGATGTGCAGGGCTGCCCAATACTAACAGACCCTAATCTGTTCAGCACAGTACAATTTCTGAAATCTGAGAAAGCAATCAATTTTATGGTAAAATATAGGAGTGTAAAAATCTGAGATTATGACATTTCATGCCTGCTCACGCTCCATTACTGGGAGACTGGAACAGTAAAAGAAAAAATCTTTCTTTGCTGATCACCAGTCCCACAATAAGGTGCGACATCTACCTACACAAATCCAGCAGCACCAGTTTCCAAATGCAGCCTAAGAACAAAGTAAGTAATGCATTTTTCTGTTTTCCATGCTAACTTTGTCTTCTAGGAAAGAATAAAGCGAGCAGAAAGCACCCACATGTAAAACCCTGGTTACATAGGCTTGGCAGTCCAAAGAGGATCTAAAGGAATAATTTAATGTGCTGATCTAGTTATGAACCTTTGAACGCTGACAATGACTAGCAAACCTCATTGAAAACTGGTCGTTCTTTAAGAATGAAAAGGACAATGAGAGCTTCTGCCTCTGGACCAACCAAGGCACAGGGCAATCTAGTAACTGCGAGCTCTGGAACTCCTTCCTCTGCCAGTGTGAATGCCAGCAGCTTTATTCAGCTCTGGGAATGGCTTCAGGAAACAAGCACATGGCTCCACTTTGTCTCTACAGCAGCATCTATAAGCACTAAAAGTGTTTTGTTTGTAGGGTGGGAGCATATTTCTATATCAATATAGCAATCCTCAGCTACAAAGTTGGTGATTTGAAACTGCAAAGGATTGGGAGAAAGGAAGGGGAGGGCTGTCCCACGGAGCAGCACTGTGTGAGGCTCAAAGAGCCAGGGGCTTCCTGAGGATAAACACATTCACTAATTGGAATTCACAATCCTTAGTAACAAGAGGTAGTAAAAATTATTCACCACCTATTAACAGTGTATTTATATGTACACATATACACACACCTCTTAAACCCATTGCTTTTGGCTTCACAACACAAACACACATGCTGGTAATTTAATGAAGCATCAGCCGCAGGAGACTGTGGGGCTGTTAGTGCCCAGTACCAGCAGTGCTGCCACCCAGTACTGGGTGGTGTCGTCTCATTGTTCCTGTCACGCATTATACAGACAGGAAACCTTCTGGAAAACTGCCTTTCATTCAGCTTTACATCTGCTCAACTCCTACTGCAGCAGGATATGGCCCCCAGCCCAACCTCCTGCATGAGCTGGGCACACAAACATGGGCTAGCACAGAGCCATTAGCAGTGCTCACCAGAATCCCTCTTTCTATTGTGGGAAGAATTACGGACTACTTTTTGTACAGCAGATAATCTAAGCATGCAATTCTGAATAACCTGATTTTTTATTTAATAAACTAGCATTCCTCCTGCCAGTGATTCCCTCATCTCCAATATAATGTAAATAACACTTTATACATTTCATTTTTATTTTCTCTCTGACTGTATCTTACACTTTTGCTTCAACAACAAAAATTGCTCATAAATAATAATACGTTTTCCCAGTAAAAGGAGGACATTTAGATTATTTTTTCCTCCACCTTTTGGAATACCTTTACATTGCCTAGCAATTACCCATTCAACTGGACTCCTGCTGTAACACTGTTATTATTTTATTTCCTTGCACCTTTAAGGCTTGGAGGGAAAGAAACCCAGTGCAATGTATGGAACACCTATGAAACCAGTTCTGCCAGTAAGGACAAGAGACCTGTGCACAGAAATGGCATCAACACAGGCTTATTGCCAGGCAATGCTGCATGCACAGAGCAGCACAACTTTCAGAAATGAGTTTCCTGGCACTTCCCATAGAGGAACTATCTCCTGACCATGGGTCATTGTTGCAAACAGTTATGGAATTTCAGGCCATTCCAAGCAGATCAGGCCTGGAATAACTCTATCCCGAGTGTTCATGCACACCATTTATCAGTACAGTGACTGAAAGTGTACCCAGACACAGATGTCACACAGAGGAAACCCCAAGGAAATGTAGGGTGTCAGCTTCAGCTCATTGACTTCTATGTTAGAAAGCATAAAATTACTACAACTAGAAAGCACTATGGTGTTAGTCCCCATCCCAGTAATCTTCTTTAAAATACTCGAACAGGCATTTTTCAGTTTTAAGTAATCACAGATTTTCATACTGATGTACATAATGTTTTAATGAAGTCTTTTATCAGAGCATGATAGTAAATAAACTGTGCTGAAAGTTCCTCTGATCACTGCATGGAAACACTTGCATAGACAAAAAGACAGACTTAAAGCCAAAGCTTCACTCCTGTAGGCAGGACTGAACAAATCTGTAAGGGTACACAACTAACATGTACCAAAATTACATGGAAGACACCATGATACCCCAGCCTCCCAGGCAAGATGGATGAGTGGCATTTACCTGGCAGTGGGACACTTAGTGACCTTAAAAAGCACTGCTGAGTCCTCGTGAGCATCAAGGGGAGCTGGGTCCCGTCTAACAGATGAAGCCTCAACAGCATGTGCCAAAGCCTCAATAAAAAGCTTTCTTTCCATCTCTTGCTGCAGCACCTCTCTGGTATAACAGAGCTGGGGAGGGGGAGGGGGAAGAATAAAAAGAGAAAGAAAAAGCAATGCTATTAATGTAGCTATAGAGACATTTACAAACCCAGCACAGAAATGGAAGCTTCTTGTGAAGCCTGTTGTCTCTTGCAGCACTGCCAAGAGGGGGAAATCGGAAAGGACTGATGGTATTTGTTCTTCCACAAAGCAGCCCCTTTCTCCCCCAGGCTGAGTGTCTTTCAAGGAAACCAAACATTTTCTACCAGCAATAACGAACCTTCTGTCTAATCGGAAGGGAACAAGAGGAAAGGGCTTTTCAGTCATGCCATAGGTAACCTGCACTCCTGCACGGAGCCCAGACCCGGTGCTCCGTAGCGCAGGAAAAGGCAGCAGCCACACGTGTGGAGCCCGGGGTGCAGCAGAGCAGTGGACAGGGCTGCAGCTCAGCAGCGCATGGGGCGCTGCCGAGGGCAAGGAGGCTGAGCTTGGAGCTGGAGGAGCGTGTGCTGGCTCAGCGGGGAGCCTCTGTCCCAGCCCCGGCATTTATTCGCTGCCTTGGAGAATTTTCTGCCTAATTAACAGACTAGGTGGGGGGTTTCTTTGTCTTCCAGACCACCAGGTCACAGAGCAGAAGAGCTTCCTTTGCTTCTCCCCCTGACTTGATTCTGTGATCACTGCTACTGTCAGGGAAGCACTGGGCATGTTCTAACCATCCTCAAAGCTTTATTTATTCAACTGCAATCCCAGATTATGCATGTAAAGAAACCTATGCTGGCTCTTAATGCCCTGCAAACTGCTAAGGAGGGCTCTGCAGTTTGCAGCACAGGAAGGGTTCAGCGTATGTCACCAAACAGGCACCCACACAGCAGGTCTCTAAGCCAGTAGTGGTGTGGGGAGTGCTGGGTGCTGGCGTTTCCTCCTGGGGAAAGGCACAATTACAAGGAGGAGGAAAGAAAAGCAGCTTGGGGTACTGACACAGGTCAGAGGAAAGACACACCAAGGGCAGCAGCTTCTTGTAAAAGGGGCTGCAGTTGCTTTTATCTGATGGACCAAAAGGAAGACACAATGGAAGGTCACTATGGAAAGACAATATGGAAGGTCACCACTTGGCTGGAAAAACCGGGCCCCGCTTTAGATGCAGGAAGCTGCCATGTGCAGGAGTACAGCTCAATCGCTGCAGCTCTTGCAGGCATATCTCTGCACAGAGAAGCGCAACCAGCTGTCTGCCCATCCTGCTTCTGGCTGTGTTACTGCTGCTGCTTCACCGACCGCACACATCCGTGAATACTGAACAAGGCAAAAGGACCAAGGGATTTAAACTGCACCAACAGCAGCTGTGCTGGATAAAAAAGCGTGGAAGATGTTCTCACTCAGATCAGTGTTAATCAGAAATACCTCCACTGACAAAGAGGCAGCGAAGTCTGTCCGGGTGAAGACGGCTGGAATCAAGCTGACAACAATTAGGACTCTTTTACTATCTTTCTCCTCCACTCCAGTTGTTTACCTCTGCCTCCCTGCTTGCTCGCTGCTTTTGACATGTCAACTAGAATGTATTTGCTCACAGTCTCATGAATCCTTTCTTCCAGAGCCTTCTTGAAATGTTCAGATTTCAGACAGTCATGGGGTTTTGCCTTTAGGTTTCAAGCTCCTCAGGGCAGAGAAAATGTCAAATCAGCATGAAGCATTGTGCATACTAATGAGGCTATACAAACCGTAACTGTACATATAGTTAACACAACTTTCCCGATCCACATCCTTTAAGCATTTTGTAATCCAAACTGCCAAGAATCAAGGGCAGAAGGAGCAGGGATATACTGCTACTTCCATTAGATTTTACAGCTAACAAAGTAATTTTTCTGGTGTGCCAAAGCATATTCAACTCAAGCAGGGCCATACACTGTACTCTGTAATCAAGAGGTCTTTCTTACCTTCTACCATGCTTCTTAAATCACTGCCTTCAGTCACTCACAATGTGCCATGCCCTGGAAAGAATTAATAAGACTCCATAAAAATGCTGTATTGTTACAACTTCTGGCAGTGGCCCTCATATACCAATCACCTCAGTACTGGATTTTTGGCAGGTATTTATGCTTAATTTTATATATAAATGGCTATTTTATTGAGAATCCACATATAGTTGCTTGATACTTCACTTAAGCATGGATGAACTTTGAACAGACACCTCCTCTCATACTGGGTGCTGTGCTTCTGGACTCAGTGCAGACACAGGGACCTGCAGCAGCCAGCACCCAGAGAATACAGCCTCCTGTTCCACAGGATGGAGAGAAGGAGGTTATCAGTGGGGCTAAACAAAGTACATCCCAAAATGACACCATGACTTTAGATAGACATTTGTGAGGACGACTTCATTTAATACTTCAGAACGGACAGCTAAAGGCCATGTTGTTCAGACACCTTCCTGCCTCCCAGATGGGAGACACTGAGCAAGATCTTGTGCTGCTGAGGTGACCTTTACTGCTCCCCTGAGTTCACCCTCCCAGTTTCAGATGTTAGTGCTTTAATGTCAGAATCTAATACAAGTCATCAGTTCAAAGGTGAAAAGCATTTTACAATAGAATGAAAATCATAACAGTGCTCAGGAGACTCAAAATGACTCATTTCCCAAGGGGAAATTATTGGTACTCTCTTCCCAGCAACTCTGCTGGTGTCAGTGTCATTAAAAAGAGGGAGTGGGAAGACAGATAAACAAAGTCTTAAAAAGCAAATATGTTCTAACTAGTGGTTATCACTGCACTTAATAATTAGGGTACTAATTAAGAGGGTAAGTAACACACTAGCTATTAGCCGCTAGTAATTAGTGTTTTTTTCTCTAGATAATAACAAGCTAAAAAGAAAATATAAAGACCTGAATCCATTTTGCCATTCACCCTGTTCACATCATGAAAACCTATTACACAAATTAATATTTATCATTAGCACCACAAAGCCGTACTTTCATATTTTGCAGCATCATGTAGCTCAGCATTTCAACGTGTGGATTTTTACATGCACAGACTAGACCTTAATGATATCTAATGGGATTCCTGCATAAATCAACTCCTTAATCCAGCCAGCCTTAACACTGGCACAACAAGGTAGCTAAGAGATGCATTCACACACAGACAATCCAGAGCCAGGCAGGATAACGCTACCTTAGCAGGGAGAAAGCACAGAGAAGGGCTTTCTGAGAGCAGGGTAAACATTTCTCAGAGCAGTGTTCTCATAGGTGGGAGACCTGGATTTAAATGCCTGTAGCTAAATCAGGCAGGGAGTGAGGCTGGATTGTCTCATATACTTGCCAGGTTGTGCTTGAGGATAATTTACCCCATGATTTACGGTCCTTTTCTCCGTGACACAGGGTTTCCCTCTTTTCCCCCTTAAACCATGGCCCTGCAAATGTTGTAATTGAAGAGCAATGCCCAGGTCCAGCTGTGTTATAGTCAAAGGAGGGTCGTGATTTCCTTATAGGACCCAGCACAGGCTGACCTGCCCCTGCCTTGTGGTTTTCTGTGCAATTATAGCCTCGGTGGTGATCAGACAGGAAAAACTGATCAAAAGTGATGTTTCATGAATATCCTTTCAAGCTGCCACAGGCGGGCCCATAAGCAGGTGGTATCCAGTGGGGATAGCTATGCAGCCTTTTGGTTGTTAGCAAGAAGGAGCAAACCGCCCCACCACCCTCCACTTACTGTGCCTCTGCTCACTTTGCAGAGCAGTGTTGGAGTGCAAGAGCTGTGTCCCTCGGTGTTAAGCTAAACCTGAAAAAGCATGCAAGTTGTGCACTTCAGATGCTGGCCACTGAGACCATACCAGAGCTTGTGGGTAGCTGCCCCATAGGAACATGAATGGTGTGGATGTGGGTTCCCAGCATCTGAGGTCTTACCTCCACATCCATGGCACCACAGCGCTCGCTGATGGAGACACAGCCAGTGATATAACTCCTCAAAAAGAACCACAACTTGGGAATGCAATTAGCCATATGGTTGGTTTTTACTACTTATGCAGAATAGAAGATGCTTGAATCATGTGAATTGGGTTAAAAGTAACTAAACAATAAAGAATTTGAAAATTCATGCATTTCTGATTTTATGGAGAAAAATGATCAGATGACTATTTGCTTGTACATGTTGCTTTCTTTTGCTGATTTCAGAGGGTTTATTAAGATGATAAAAATACTTAATGCTGAGCTACATTTTGTGTGTTCACTTTGAAAATAAATCTTTGTGTGGGTGTAATTTAGGCTGTGGGTAGACTAATACTCTGGGATTTGCCCATGGATAAGAATATCCATGCAGCTATATTAGTTACAACAAATCAATAATTTCAATGTAGTATCTTGCTAAAGCACTTCTTTTTTTTTTTTTTTTTTACTAAAAAATATGTCAAATTGCTATGTGACTGGATACAACGTGGAGGTGTTAGACATGACTGAAACAGAGTCTTGTCTGGGGGGTAAGAAGACAACAGCCACTCTAGCTACCTAGGTTACAGAAATGTAATGAAAGACAATGAAGAAAAGTTACATCTTACATTGCTTTTAGACTTACCTCCTACATGTATCTTCTCACACACTGGTATAAAGCATAGGAATGGTACTTTCCTTGACTTTTCAAAAAAAGAACCCAAAACCCAAGACCTGAAATAATGAAATCAAGAGTTATTATCTGCTAACATTGCATTCCTATGCTCTCACATTTCCGTACTGTTTTACGAGCAGACATGCATATGTGCACACACACTGGTCCCACTGGGAGAACAGGGTTAGTTAACAATCCCACGTAACTAAGAGCAAATATGAGCTTTTTAGATTATTTTTTTTCTAATTTGTATTACTTAAAATGCATCAGTTGCTAAATTTGAAATTATTGGTGAGTAAACAATAGGTAGCATTATAGAGAGCCACTCTTCATAAAATTCTAATTATCCCCTTCCTATTTGTTGTGACATGCCCTCGCACTGATTATGGGCTTGGACTGATGCCCAGTCTTCGAAAATGCAAAGTAAGCACAAGAGGTTTGTATAAGCTCCAGCTGGTTTCTGTGCATGGCTGGGACATTTTGTGAAGCTGCTGCAAGTGGAGGCAGCCCAGACTGTCCCACCTGCTTCTTCTCATGCTTTGCTCACCCCAGAGCAATCAGCATTTCACCCCGTTGCAGAAAAGCACCAGTGGGCTTGGAAGCATCCAAGTCACAATGTTTCTTTCAGATCAGCATGGGTTTTTTTGTGTCCCAATTTCTTTGCGTCTGAGTGTGCAGGGTAAAAGACTTCCAACTGTTGTACAGACAACCACTCCTCAACCCTGAGAGCTGAGGAAGCCCAACTCACAGCACATGGTGGGTGCAACTCACTGACCGTCCCCACAGCTCAGTGAGTGGTGCAGTGTGAGCAGCAGTAAGGCTCTATGGGGCCTTATAAACCACTAGAGCAGCTCTAAGATACTGTATTGTGTATTTAACCTCAAGGCTATTACCATTAGCCAGCTAAGCCAAATGAATGTAGTAGAAAAACATTTACAGTTGCTGGAGGATTAATGTACTGAATGATGCATGGATTTTAGAGAAAATGCCTTTGATTTATATTATTCTATACTAGGAAATACAATTTTAATTAGTAATTGCTAATTTTGATTTAGTACATTACATTCTGGATATAGCGGGTTTATTATGATTATATCACCTAACTTATTATGATATATATTTACTGTAATGGGAATATATATTAATCAATAGACTGATTAACTACAGACTATTAACTCCACTGCAACACTGGAATAACACAATCAAGCCAGTAACAGACACAGAGTATTGTCAGATGTTGTGAATGATGTATCTAATTCTGAATTTTACCCTGGAATAAATACAAAAACTAAGCACTGATTATCAGGTTCAGAAATGAATATGTCTGTTTTAACAGGCAGCATGTCAGATGTAGTAGCTAAGCTAGTTGCCCAGGGAGTCCAATTCTTCTCCAAGTGGATGATTTATATATTTTAATATGAAATGTATCACTCTCCAAACAGTTTCTTTCAGAATGTGATATATACAAAATGTCAAGGACATTTTGATACTGTAATACATTGTCTTATTTCTTTCAGAAGAATCCATTTCTAATTCTTTACGTGCTTCTAGTGTCAGAACGATACCAGTAGTACTTTTCATATGATGGCTACACCAAACCTTTGCTTATAAGCAGCTGAGGTGCCCTGGAGAAATTAGGACCTGGTAATACTTCCTCTCCCGCTCTGCTCCTAGGCATGCCCCATGCTGCTGCCTGGTGACACAGGAAGCTGCTAAAGAAATAGAGAGCTTTACCCAGAAATACACTCTTTCCCCCCAGTCTTCAAAGAAAGGTGTGCAAGCCCTAAGACTGAAGCCAGAGGGACAGGACCTCTAATCCCTCACAAGCCCTGGGGAAGGTTGCTTGTGAGCTGGTTCCACTGTTATGCTTACAAAAACATGCACGGAGCTAATGCTGGAATAAAACCTCTGTTTGGCTCTCGGGTTTGACAGAATACCTGCAAAGCTTCCTGCAGGGCTCTGGCTGCCTTTCCAAAGTTCAGTTTCAGTGGCACTCTACTGCCTTGATGAACGGTGCTCCTATGCTGAGTAAATAAAAACAGAGTAAATAAAAATAGGCCTCACAGGTCAACTAAGAAGCCCCTAGGTGCACAGGCAAGATAAGCATCTCTGGATGCTCCCTCCTTCCAGCCTGTGAACTATTTTACACATGCAAGTCAAAAGATCAGGACATTCCCAGCTGTCACACGGAAGGAAACCAGTGCCTGGCTGTTAGGCATGAGAAAAGGGATGCCACTGAAGTGCCCAAGCTCCAAGATATGGCCCAGATCAAGGATCCTACACCTTATTGACATCCCACCAGCATCCCCACAGCAGCAAACCAGCAGCCCCCATGCTCTTTTCCACGGTGGGTACTGTGGCCTGGGATGAGAGGGGAGAGCAGACATCTGGCTGATTGTTGGATGACAGGCAACATGCCGAGCGCCTACTGTACCAAAAGGGGAAAGGGAATTGTCACCTGTAGACAGCAGTGATTACAAATCATGCCAATGGCAGAAGGACTCTTTCAGCTGAGACCAAAAAAAGTATTTCCAGCTCGGCAAAAGTAACTGGAAAACTGGAGAAATGCAGCAGAGGGCAGATGACTTTTTGATTACCAAAACCAAACTCCTCAACTCTTCTCTCCCAAAAGTAGACCTAGAGAACACAAATTTGTCCACAGGCCAAGTGCACCAGAAAGGCCACTTTTTGCAGTGTAAGCAAAAGTGCTACTTAGCATATGAAGAGCATATGCAGCAGAAGAAAATATAGGCTAGTTCCAACAATAAAAAAACCAACAAAAAACAGCTCCAGAGTGTAGATGTGAAAACCATATGCAGGTTTCTAAGTAACCAGACCAATTTTTCTGATGTGTTGAGGGCTGACTAGTTCCCACAGAAATCAATAGGAGATGTTGATTGCTTGGTACTTTTGAAAATCAGGCCAACTCTTCAGGAGCATAAGTAGGGGCCTGAAATGCCTGATTATGGCCCATTTGAAGTCTGAGCCTCGATACACAGCAATGTGCCTGCTGTTCAGAAACATGCCTCACAACATGCACATCCTCTGCAAGGATGAAAGAACAGCCCTCCCTGCGACAAGCAGGCTGGGGACAGAAAGCTCTATTTCCACCATCACCACACACTCCACCTCCCCTTTTATAAAACTGAATACACTAGCTTCAGTTCTGAAAGAGGAAAAATCTTTTTATAGATGCTGCTGTACATAATCAAACACTCTATGTGATATAATGCAGAGATGAAGTAATGGAAACTTAAATTTGCAGGGAAATAAAAGCCATGATGTGCACATAACTGTGACCTGTCCTAACCTCTCATAGGCAGAAAGTAAAGCCATGAGATAAGGAAAGGGTGAGGCAAAGAAAGTTACATGCAAACCTTTCAGAATATATTTCCTAATCAAAAAATCCTCCAAATATTTGCTGTGAAGCTTTATCTTCCTAGTGCTGGCTACTGGCATGCTTCAATAAGCACCATGGCTGGGTTGGGGCAGGTCATGTGCTCAGCCCTTGTTTCCTTTATTACCATTCGGTACCTAACGGCTGAATTGGAAAACGCATTGCGTCCTTCCATGAGCACCTTGCCACCTGATGCATGCTTTGGCATCTGTAAGTAGTGATTTACTGCTGAATCACATGACAAAACTGACTATAGCCTTTATAAATTCATAAATCCTGAGTAGGACAGCTTTCCTATTATGGCTGCAGTCTTGTTTCAGTGTGTAACTCACGTTGCTGAAGGAGAGACAATAAATCGTGAGGCTGGGGAATCCATTGTATTTATATATGAGGCTGCTTTTGGTCTCCATTTCCTAGTCGCAAATAAACTGGGATCTTTTGAGTTTGCCACAGGGATATTTATAGATCGCAAATGGTGACACATTAAAATCAATTGGCCTCTGTATTTTCTCTGGGATCTTTTATTGTTTCCTGCAAGTCAATGTGAATATTTTCCCCATCTTACAGATTCTTCTCCATGTGGAGAGAGTCTGGATGAGCTTAGGCTTTCTTCACACTCTTCCTTTATACTTATGAGTCTGTGATTTATTCATGTGTTATCAGCCATGCCCTTCTTACAGCGGACAGAAGCAGCATGAGAAACATTTTATTATATGGCTTTTATGTTTGTCACTTTTCTCTCTTCTACCTACGAATGCTTCCCCTTGAAGTTATTTATAACAATCCCAGAAATCCCTATTATAGCACTTATAATAATGATTAGTCAAAGAATTTTTGGAGAATTTCTGGCAGTACCATTGTGTCTAGGATGTGGTCTTGGCCCAGGCCCAAAGGTGTTAGACACAGTCTCACCGCAAAATGGGGATTTTCCCAAGTCCAGTTGCCATACAATATAAACCACTACACAGGAGCTGAGAGTATATCACCACCTGGATGTTGCCAGATGATGATATACTCTCCTCTGGTCCCTCTAAATTCAGTACCAATAGTTTTGGATGAACACACTAGGGAACATTGCCCACTGTAAAATCACTCAAAAAGTTAAGAATAAAAGTAAGGCCATGAAACTTACGTGAGCTGTGTGCCAGCTGAGTGAAGGATACTCCTTTCTTTCTGAAGCAAATCAACAGTGCTGGTGAATGAAGTAGCCCTGTATTTAAAATTAAAGAAGATAAAAACCAATACAGAATGTATCAGTAGCTAACTTGATGGAAACAACAGCAAAATAAATTAATATCTTTTCTCATCTAATGCCAATCATGTCTTTAAGTAGTGGACATTCAAAAGGCAGGATCTATCTATACATTGTATATACTTTGGTATACTGCTGCTTTTTATTCACATGCTCAAAATGGCAATAAGGACCCAGGATTTGTATTTTGTTTCATTAAAGTAAATGCATTTATGCTAAAAGACTCAAAACAAATTCTGCTTACCTCTGAAACAGTGTAATGTTTAAATTACTAAAATAAGAGAAGTGGGCTGTTGAGTAGTGCAGCTTATCCTTCTGCTTTATTAACTGCTCCTCTGCTGCAGTCAGTGAACCTTTACAAATAGTTCCATAACTCTCTGCAGTCATATTTCTGTATCAGAATTTTGATGCTCAGGCCTTGCCTTTTCTGTATATAGGCTGGAGCAGGATGTCTAACAAACATCTAGAGCCCCAACAGACACCTCTGTTAAAAAGGAAGGCAAAAACTGTTAAAATTTCCTCTGCATCTATCTAAACCAGAGCTTCAAAAAGGTGGTTGCAGCAAACAATGGATGGGAGGCAGGCCTGGGAGCCAGAACACATCAGGAGGAGGGACGGAGCCTCACGCCAGGCAGACATACCTCCAAACCCAGCAGGAGGGTACTGAATTTGTTCCTGCAGCATACTGGATGCATTTTAATTTTCCCTGGTTTACTTCTTAGTTTCTTTTTGTAAAATGCACCAACTGAAGTTAAATCTTCCCAAGTAAATGTCTACGCCCTGCTTTCAGCTGGGATAGTTGATTTTTTTCCTAGCAGCTGGTGCAGTGCTGTGTTTTGGCTTCAGTCTAAGAACAATGCTGATAACATGCTGATGTTTTAGTTGTTGCTAAGTAGCACTTGCCCTGATCAAGGACTTTTCAGTCTCTCATGCTCTGCCAGTGAGGAGGGGCACAAGAAGGCAGGAGGGAGCAGAGACAGGACACTAAACTAGCCAAAGGGGTGCTCCATACCACAGCACATCATGCCTAGTATAGAAACCCGGGGGGAGTTGGCTGGGAGGGGCCAATCACTGCTTGGGGACAAGCTGGGGATCAGTCAGCGGGTGCTGTCCAGGAAGCAAGGGTCTCAGCACCTCTGCTTCCTCTGTCTGTCAGGGGATCTCCAGCTGCAGCAGATACAGGTAGAAAATGCTAGGCCCAAAAGGGGCAGGAAAAGTGAATGCAGTTTGAATTTTGGACTGCCTTTTTAGCTATGTCCTTTCTAGAGACAATGCAGGCACCTTCAGGTCATCTTCCAATTGCAGACCTAAAAACCTGAACCTTCACAGTCAAGTGCAATTAGCTACTCTGTAAAGCTCCAAAATGCAGCAATTAGACTGAACTCGCTTTTAAAGTCCCTGCTAGCAACTGATCTCTGCAGGAAAACCATTTCACGCTAATTTTCAGTTATCTGTAGAGTACAACAATAGGAGGTGAAAGACACAGGTACTTTGTACCAAAAGTACATTGCACATGCGCTGTTGTGTTCAGCTGACACAGCAAGCCCATGTTTAGATAAAGATGTTTTGATAAAAGGGCAAAATGAGCTGCTGTAGGTAGAGAAACAAACTGCTGAAAAGCCAGGGAGATGATAAGAGCAGACTCTGCCGAGCTGTAGTGCTGAGCTGGAAGTACGATGGCTTTGCTAACCAGATCAGGAGGAAGGGAGCTTTCCTACGCTGCCTCGAAGCAGCTGATTTGAACACTTCTGAGCTTTTCATACAGACAAGAAATTAGGTCAAAACTTTCTAGGAAATTTCTGAGGCCTGTTTCAGAACACAGTTCAAAAGATCAAAGGAGAGAAATTCTATAGAAACCTGTATGCAATCTCATGTGGAAATGAAACACTAACAGGAAGAAATCCTGTGACTGAATACTGCTGAGCTGACATCCAGGGGCTTACCTTTTTAAAAACCTCAGTACAGCTTTGCAGCAGCAGAATGTAAGGCAAAGAAAGGGAGTAAACTTAAAACAACCCTTCCATCAGCATCCACCCCAAGGACAGAAACACCATTCATTTTATTAACATTATGGCATCCTTTCTCCCTGCTCCCACCTCCAGCAAGAACTTGGCTGCAAAGAGCCACTTTAGCCTTTTACCAACAGTAACAAATCTTACCCAAGCAGTAGTTTTTACCAGTAGTTAGAGCTCCTTGCTTAAGTTGGGTATTAAATTGTTCTTTCTTTTAAAGCACTATTTTGATTAGATGATCTCTTCTCTGAAAAAATAACCCAAACCAAAACATAACACTTAGGGACAGATTTTTGAAAGCTATTAGGCTTCTGCTTAATTTAAATGCATAACAGCAGGCAGCTCAGCCTAATTCTCTACTTGAGCACACAGTCTCTTGATTTACACATACAAGTGGAACAGCTTTTGCAGATGCATGTCTTGCCTCTTGTTCTAGCCTCCTTGTGTTTTAATAACTTACCTTACTTATGACTTTCTTAATTCAGACTTAAATTACACAATCATTTAGCACACAGACTGCATTGACCCATTTCCTCCAGATGCACTGAGGAGTTCATTGGACTCCTTCTATCCCAGGTCATCTCGTGGAGCAGTAGTTTTGGGCCAGTCCTATAACTGAGAGAGAAACCTGGGTCTAGTTGTAAGTCAGAGGGGTGGGGAAAGAACAGAGGGTTTAACTCCACACATCGTTAACTCCTCCCCAAAAGCCAGAGGGAACACTGAATCTCACAGCAAGAAGACTTTCTTCACTGATACATCTTCTTGCAATTTCCAGGCTGATCTCTCCATAGGTTCCTTTGATTTATGAGGTCATTTGTTGACAATTGGTTGAATTAACTACTCTAGAAAAGCGTTTCTGTTACAGAGCAGGGAAGGTTTTTAACCTTTTTTGTTAGCTGTTAAGCTGTTGCTGACACAAGTGGCTGGACATGCAGCTCAGCTTTAACCATCATATGATGGTTAAATTTCCAAACATTCCAGAGATTCAGAACTTTCTTTATAAGATTCAAAAAAGACAAAGATCTCCTTGATCAGTGAATAGTGGGTTTTTTTGCACAGAAGAGAATAACAGGTTGTGGGATGTAATATTAGATCATATTTCCTAAGCATATGATTACTTCTGATGGCAATTCATACTGGAACACAGCTTGGCTAGCATCAGTTTCCGAAACATTTCCACCTGATTGCGCAATTCTTCCTAAAAGGACACCAGAAAATTAAGCTCCTACTGAGAATAAGACTGCCCCCTGAGGATGTGGAAGGTGTCCCTGCCCATGGCAGAGGGTTGGAACTAGATGGTCTTTAAGGTCCCTTCAACCCAAACCATTCTATGCTTCTATGATAAACATAAAAAACATGTATCAGACACTAATAGTGCAGACGTAGTGGTGCACAGACCTCCCATGCCACAGATAAAAACTCTACTAGACCATGGCTGTGTAACTTGAGTAGAGACAATTCCTAATACTGTGGGCAAGTAGGGACCAGGCATCACAGAAATCATAGAATCACAGAATAGTTTGGGTTGGAAAGGACCTTAAGATCATCTAGTCCCAACCCCCTGCTATGGGCAGGGATGCCCAAGGCTCTGTCCAACTTGGCCAAAGGGGATGTTCTAATGCCAACAGTCTTGTGCTCAACTTTGTGTGGATTGTTCAACAAGCTGACAACCCTGGGTAACCAAGACAAATGGTTATAGAGAAGAGAGTAAGAAGCACGAGCTTTTCCCTTGCACAGCTACAGTTGATCACAGAACACCACTAGCATGGTTTAGGAAACCACTGACTAGACAACTAGTGTACACACAACTACACTACATCTAATCTTCCAAGAAGGACACTGCTTAGGTAAGTGCCTTCACTCACCCTATTTTCAGTAATGCATGGATTAGATAATAATAGAAAAGGTCAGCCCAGAGCAGCTTTATCTGGTAATGACCCTTGTTCATAATGGAGTCCCCACCACTGGGAAACAAGACCTGTACTTTCTTGAAACTCAGAACTTAGCCTTGAGCAAAACTTGTCCCTGCAGGATGGATTCTTAACTGTCATAGCATTACTGTTTCTTGATGCCCTTAAACTTACCAGAATTTCAAGGCTCACAGTCTTTTCTTTCATCTATTTCTATAAAAATCAGCTACCTAAGTTTATCCCACATACATGTTACCTCTTTTGAGACATCGGTTATACCCCATCATTAATATTTTCAGCATTTTTTTTCTTTTGCTTTAGAACCAGTTTTTTGCAATATCTTGTTTTTTCTGGCATTGATTCCATGATTACAGCTCACTCTCAAAGCCCACACTCCACAGGCAGGTTGCTGTCAGTTTTAGTTGGAGTTCTCACCTGATCAGAAGCTGCAGGAGAAAGTTTTATGATCATGCCCAGAGTGTGAGGCTTCGGGTTCTCCTGACACATCAGTATTTCCAGATTTGATTTCAGTCCAATGTGTACATTGCAATTTGGAATTAGAAACCAGTTAATTTTCAGAAGTCCCTGTAAAGGAGAAGACATTGAAATAAAAATTGTAAAAAATTCTTCCCCAAGGATTAATACTGAAGCAACTGCTTTTTATTTAATGATGTTTCTTATTTGACCCGACTGTATGTCAGACCAGTAACTTACTTTCTAATCATAGCATCTCATCGCAGAATAAAAGTCCTTATTGGTAATGCATAATAGTTTTTCTGAGCTGAACAGAAAATACAATGTTCATCTGCCTACAATACTGAAAGTAAATAAAAATGAAATACACTGTGGGGATTACATCATATGATATGATTGGAAATGCTGGTGTTATTGGAAATGTAACAGCCCACTTTGCTGGTGTTAGCAGGCCATGAAATCATATAAAAAGTAAAATAAAACCAAACAACCACCAAAAAACCCAACAGAAGAAAAAATACCGAGTTACAGAAGAAAAATGTACTTTTGGACCTTTTCTCAAAAAGAAAATTTCTATTCTGCATTTTGTCCCACCCCACTTTTAGGATTATTAAGGAGAAGCCTTTTCACGAGCTGTACTAGTTAGTGTTGTGGTTTAACATGGGATGCAGCTTAACACCACACAGACCTTTGTTCTCTTCCCCCAGATGGAAAAAAGATAAAGGAGTTTTATAGTTTAATAGGGTAGAAAAGATAGCGAAAATAATAACGATAAAAGAATATACAAAACAAGTGACACACAAGACAACTGCTCTCCTATGCTGACTGATGCCTAGTGTAGACGCTGCTCAGCAACAACAAAACATCTGTTTTCATTGTTGATATCAACACTATTCTTATCCTAAATCCAAAA